TGCGAACTTTTAAGACGAATGTGTGCGGCTAAGGCGAGGGCCGCATGTTTGAAACGACCCGCCGTGAGAACTTTGAAGACGAGTGTGTGCGGCGCTAAGCGAGATCCGCATTTTGAAAATGACCCGCCCTCCATTCGTGAAGCTGCTACAATTCTTTAAGAATAATGTGCGCGGCGCTAAGGCGACAGCCAGCATCTTGGAAGCGACCCGCCCTCCATGTGTGAAGCTGTTGCCAATCTTTAGGCTTCAGGATCAGAAGTAGTAAGGGAATCTCAGTCGAAACGTCCCGCTCGCCCTTCTAATTGGCTTCGGGGTGAGACGGAGAGGAGTAATTCATAAGAAAAGAAAGGAAATGGAGGAGGAGGAAGAGGAGGAAAAGGAGCAGGAGGAGCAGGAGGAAAAAGAGGAGGGGGGGAGAGGACGAGAAGGAGGAGGCATAGGAGGAGGAGGAACAGTGTAAACCCAATAATCATCAATGATGTTGGAACAAACCCTCTCTTCGAGCGCCTTCTACACAGGCCCCTACTAGGATTCATTTTCACTAGGGGAAGTACCCCGTTGGGAGGCAATCGTGTGAAGAACCTGAAGCGTTCCAAAACACCATTCTCGGGACCCCAACGCCACGAGTCAACCTGACTGCTGCGCGTTGACGGTCCTGAATCGTACCAGAACGCCATTCCTTTTGACTTCAACACCGCGAATAAACGTAAGTGTTGCGCTTTGACAACCATGAGTCGTTTCAATACGCAATTTTGTTGGTATGTTAGCCATGCGACTCCGTGAAAAGCTTGTATTTTTGAGAGCGAATGTGCGCGGCGCTAAAGCGAGAGCAGCAACATTTTGAAATGGATCCGCCCCCAATCCGTGCAAGTCTACCACATGTTCAAAGACGAGTGTGCGCGGCGCTAAGGTGAGGACCACATTTTGAAACCGGCCCGCCCTCGAGCTGTGAAGCTCGTGCAACTGCTTAAGACGAGTGTACGTTCTTTAAGGCGAGAACCACATTTTGGAAACTGCCCGCGCTCCATCTGTGGAGTTCTTGCACACATTTGTGACGTGTGTGCGCGGCGCTGAAGGCGGGAACAACATGTTGGAAACCTCCCGCCCTCGGAGGAGGAGGAGGTCAAGTGTAAATCCGACACCTATCAACGATGTTGGAATAAGTCTTCCCCCCTTAAGCTCCCTGTTCGTTGGCTCCTACATGGATTCATTTCCACTGAGGGAAGTGCCCCGTTGGGAGACAACTGTCGGAAAATCCGGAGGCGTACCAAAACACCTTTTTCGGGACCTCAACGCCGCGAATCACCCTGACTGCTGCGTACTGACGATCCTGAAGTGTGCCAAAACGCCGTTCTTGGGCATTCAGCACTGCGAGTCAACGTGACGTGCCTTAGCAATTCTGAGTCGCGCCCAAACAGTATTTCCGGTCCGTTAACCATGGGAAGCCGTGAATTTCTGGCCAATGTTTACGACGAGTGTGCGCGGCGCTACAGCGAAGACTTCATTTTGAAAAGGAACCGCCTTCTTTCCATGAAGCTCTTGGATTTGTTGAGGCGCATGTGCGCCACGTTAAAGCGGGAACAACATGTTGAAAACCACCCGCCCTCAATCCGTGAAGCTCTTGCAATGTTTAAGACGAGTGTGCGCGGCGCTAGGGCGAGAACCACACTTTGAAAACGACCCGCCCTCAATCCGGGAACCTCTTGCAAATATTGAAAGCGAATGTGCGCGGCGCTAAGGCGAAAACCACATTTTGAATACGACCCGCCCTCAATCCGTGAAACTGTTTTGCATTAGAAAATTTGCGCGGCGCTAAGGCGAGAGCCACATTTTGCAAACGACCCGCCTTCAATCCGTGAAGCTGTTTTGTGTTAGAAAAATGTGCGCGGCGCTGAGGCGAGAGGCACATTTTGAAAACGACCCGCCCTCAATCCGTGAAGTTACTAATTTCCACGGTTCTGTGTCATAGATGGTAAGGAAGTCGCAGGTGAAACGCCCGGCCCACTCTTCCGACTGGTCGGGGAGGAGGCACTTGTAAGGGGAAGGAATGGAGGAGGAGGAGGAAGAAGGGAAGAGGAAGGAGGGAAGAGGGAAGAGGGAGGAGGCAAGAGGGGCGAGGTGAGTGTGGCCGCGTCTTGCAGCCAGGGGCGGGAGCAAGGGCCAACCTCTTGCCCAGCTCGTCATCAGCAATTCTGAAGATCTGGAAAGTCCGAAAGCCCGACGCGACAACAGGCCCTGCAGAACGCTGCAGCAAACCTCAGGCACCTGGAGGGGCTTACCCCTCAGGGACGGCCCTTCTTCTCCGCTCTTGCACGCTGGCCATTCGCTTCTCGGTGCCCCCGTTTAGCCCTATCGCTGGTGCAGCCAGCTCTGCCTCGCCGCCGACGAAAAATGTGATGTTCTGACGGCTCAGGACACTTCCCCGACAGCGTGCAGTTTCCGACTCGGCGAGCCTCGAGTTGAAACGAATCACAACGCGTGCACACCATGGCCCCGCGGCCAAGCAGCACGCGACGGTCAGCAAGCTCTACGATATCCTCAGAGTTTGGGGGGTATCGACCCCCTCGGACCAGGAGGGACGTCCCTGGGAGGCCCCTTCGGCAAGGGAACCAGCAAAGTGAAGGGCAACCTGAGCAACCTCGCTCCTGTACAGCGGGGCCTGCTGCAAGTCCTTCTTTCTGCTGGCTCTCGGAGCCTGTTGCTCCGAGGGCTGGCGGACAGCATAGTTGGGGGGACCAGACAACACTTGAGGAAGTCGTGGGCGGAAAAGAGGGGGGTGATGACTAGGTGGGGGGGATCATGGCGGGGGCCATGATATCTCCCCAGATTTCATGGCGCCTCTTCTTATTTCATTACGTCCCTGGCCCCCCCGCTAGGCCGCGCACATGCCGCCGGTCATGATTTGCACCCCCCCCTCTTTGACACCCCCCTCTTGGCCGCTCCCGAGGAAGACTGGCCGGAGTCCTCGCAGTGGCCAAGCAGCACTTGCACTGGTAAGCCCTGGGGCTCCAGACAGCAACCGTGTGAGGGCATGTACCTGCCCATTGTGTGGGCTCGCTCACTCTCATCTTGAATCTGCCAGGGCTCCCAGACTCCGCATCCCTGGAGATCAGACATGCGGCTGCATACGAAAAGAACCGAGCCTGCATCTCGGCGTCCTGCAACTCAGATTCGTAGATCCGTAAGACATCACAAGGGTGTTTGCGAAGGGGTATCATTCAGCGACATGCCTGGCCAAGTAATCAACCCCCAGCATGAGCTCCCACGGGGCCCGAGAAGCACACTTTTCAAGATATCATTCTATCTCGACGTGTGCTGGGCACCAGTACGCGGCAGGGTGCAGGTCTCTCTGCACATGAAATATCGTCCGCCAGATGTTGGCGTGCGTAGAATAAGCATCAGTCTGGTCTTGGTGCCAGGCATTCACCCCCTGAGCGATCCCCTGGAGATCTGCCACCACGAGCTCGACTTTGGGGAGCAGCTTGCATGCATAAAGAGGTGCCATTCTCTCCGCCCTCCCCACCGTCTGGATGGGACCTGATAGGGGTCTGTAAGCAATTCGTACTGGCATCCCCTTATCTCCTAGCTGTAGCATCGACCGCCCGCAATGCCTCAGTTCTGGGCACGATGGGGCCATTACAGAATCATCCGTGTACGCTCCCGATGTCCAGGGATTCTTGTCCGAGGCTCAGTTTCCCCGAAGATAGTGAGGTAGGTTGTCCTCGACGCATGTAGGAATGAGAGGACTGAGGGGGATGCCACTGCTGGTGCTGAAGTAGTCCCAGTCGGGTCCTCCTAGAGATCTTTTTCCATTTCCCAAAGATATCGACATACGTCGTCCAGGCTGTCGTCCCAGCACAAGTCATCGTCACCCGTGCTTCGTCACAGCCCAGGACATTCAAAGGAGGCTCGAAGAGGGAAGAGGGAAGAGGGAAGAGGGAGGGAGAGGGAGAGGGAGAGGGAGAGGGAGAGGGAGAGGAGGAGGAGGAGGAGGAGGAGGAGGAGGAGAGGAGAGGAGGATGGAGGGAGAGGAGGCGAGGCGGAGGAGGAGGAGGGAGGAGGATAGGAGGAGGAGGAGGAGGATGAGGAGGAGGAGAGGAGGAGGAGGAGGAGGAGGAGAGGGAGGGAGGAGGAGGAGGAAGGAGGAAGGGAGGAGGAGGAGGAGGAGGGGAGGAGGAGGAGGAGGGGAGAGATGAGGAGGAGAGGAGGAGGAGGAGGAGGAGGAGGAGGAGGAGAGGAGGAGGAGGAGGAGGAGGAAGAGGAAGGAGGAGAGGAGAGGATAGGGGAGGAGAGGAGAGAGGAGGAGGAGAGGGAGGAGGGGAGGAGAGGAGGAGAGGAGGAGAGAAAGGAGAGGAGGAGGAGAGGAGAGGAGAGGAGAGGAGGAGGAGAGAGAGGGAAGGAGGAGGAGAGGAGAGGAGGAGGATGAGGAGAGGAGGAGGAGGAGGAGGAGGAGGGGAGGAGGAGAGAGAGGAGGAGAGGAGGAGGAGGAGGAGGAGGAGAGGAGAGGAGAGGAGGGGAGGAGGAGGAGATGAGGAGGAGGAGGAGAGGAGGAGAGGAGGAGGAGGAGGAGGAGAGGAGGAGGAGGAGGAGGGGAGGAGGAGGAGGGGAGGAGAAGAGGAGAGGAGAGGGGAGGAAGAGGAGGAGGGGAGGAGGAGGGAGGAAGAGGAGGAGGAGGAGGAGGAGGAGAGGAGAGGAGGAGGAGGAGGAGAGTGTTGGAGGCAGAAGGGAGAGGAGGAAGTGGGGAGGAGGAGGAGGGGGAGGGAGGAGGAGGAAGGAGGAGGAGGAGAGGAGGAGGAGTAGGAGGAGCGAGGGGGAGGGGGAGGGGGAGGGAGGGAGGAGGAGGTGGGGAAGGGGAGCAAGGAGGGGGAGGAAGGGGAGGAGGAGGGGCAGGGGAGGAGGAGAGGAGGAGGAGGAGGAGGAGGAGGAGGAGGAGGGTAGCGTTTGCCCTCGTTGTCCCCTCCTCCTTCGGGTCTGGGCTCCTCCTTCTCCTGCCGCTGCAGGCCGCGGCCTCGGTGCTGTGCGCCGGACATCTCTTCTCCATCTGGCTGAGGCGCCCGCGCATCAAGGTCTCCGGCAAGCACGTGGTCATCACCGGTGGCCGCCGCCCAGCCTGTTTTGGGGGCAACGATGGGGGGGGATAGGCGTAGGGGGGGATGCATCGACCCCCAATCGCCCATTGATCGCCGATAGGGGCCCAGTAGCCCCAACCTGCTCAGGAAGGTGCGGACTCACTGTGGGGGTCCTATCGCTGATCTTTCGGCGACGTATCGCCGATTCCGGGTCGATGCATCCCCCCCTATGCCAGTCCCCCGCTATCGTTGCCCCTCACTGTTCTCGCCGAGCGCGTGCCACTGCTCGCAAAGTGCCTACTCGCAAACGTGCGAACAAAAAAGGCCTTCCTTTGTGTAATGTATCGCAGATCCATCGCGGCGGATCCATGCCATCCGCGAGTAGTTACTCCTGGCATCGCTCGGACGTGTGTATCTTTTCTCGGCGAGGACCATCGAGGAGCATCCTTGATCATCTGGCGAGAAAGCCACGCACGAAACCGAACAAAAGCACAGGGAATGGACGTCCGAGCGATGGCCAGTGTATCGTATCCTCCTCCTCCTCCTCCTCCTCCTCCTCCTCCTCCTCCTCCTCCTCCTCCCACGAGCGCGGCGGATCCATGCCAGCCGCGAGCAGCTAACTCGCGCGAGCAGTGGAGCGCGCGCTTGTCCGCATGGGCCGGCCACGCGCAGGAGAGGGGGCCCTCGCTGGACTCTTGCCCCCCCCCTTGGTGCGCGGGGCTCTCGGGGCGTGCCAAAGGGTTAGGTCGGGCGTGTCCCTCAACAGGAGGAATATCGAAGAACAGACTCCTCCTCCTCCTCCTCCTCCTCCTCCTCCTCCAAACTAGTCTGGTCGGGCGGACAGACCCCCCAACAGTGACACGTCGAGTAGTGAATTGTCCTTTTTCGGTTCTCGGGAGGGCGCCGTGGCCGTTGTTTTCCAGGCTTGCGCCCGCCAGCTTCGGGCCTCAGGTCGTTTTCACTAAACCGCGTTTTGCTGAAGGGGGGTCTGTCCATCCCCGATCTGGGATAATTTTTGGAATATCTTTATGGTTATTTTTGGGTACTCATGGTTTATTTCCAACTTCTCGTCGAACATCGGCCTGTAGGGGGACACACCTGACCTCATGCTAGGGGGGGGAGCAGACCGAAACACGCGGGCCGCCGTTGTCTCGTCGCACGCAGCGATCGGCACGATGCGCACCAACGGTTACGTCGGTGGCAAATCCTGGGAGCCTGGTGCACCCTCTCTGGGTAGTCGAAGGCCAGACTGTCAGACTGGATTGGGCCCCAAGGGCCAATCTGGCCAGGCCAGATGGGAGGATTTGGGTTCTTCGCCAGACTGGATTCGCGTTGGCTCCCTCGCCAGATTGCCCCCGTTTGCCAGATTGGGCCTGCCAGATTGGCGCCAGATTGGTTTCGACTACCCAGCCTCTTATTTCCGTCTTTAGCGTCGACTAGCGTCGATTAGCGTCTGGAGTCGATGAGATCGCGCCGACTTAGCGTCGATTGGCGTCGATGTAGCGTCGATGTAGCGTCCATGAGCGTCGACTTAGCGTCCATGAGCGTCGATTCGGAAGAGCCGTCAAGATGGCATGGGAGGCTCCCATCACCACCGAAGGTTGCTCGTGCCTAGGGTCACTCCTGCGTGTAGCCGACGAGCGAGAAGCCATCACGTTTTTGTTGGAGGGGTGGGCTGCAGGATAAGGGATCGAGGACAGAGGTTCTTGGCCGCTGGGGCGCTCCCGGAGCGCCCTCTTGGCCACGGCCGGATCCGCCTCGGTCCGGGGAGTGGTTCTCGATGCAGGTGTAAAGAAAAGGGGTCCTGGCTGGGGGAGCGAGGGTCCCTACGTTTTTCGCTGTTTTGGCCCTCCGCGGGCATTCCCAGGGCCCCGAGGACGGTGAGAAACGGCCCGGGAGGAGACACCGGTCCCGGTGGAAGCTCTAGCGTGCAGGACCCGCTTCTCTCAGGAGGAAAAATCACACAGACATAATTCATCGTCGATTCCCCAGAAAATATGGGAAAATATGGGAAGTGGGGGGGAAGACAAGAACCTAGAAAATATGGGAAATATGGGGGAATCCTTTTATTTGTGTGTATTTTTTGGACCCGTTTCTTCATGCCAAGTTGGCCCCCCCCATACGGATGAGATGCTCTACCGAGGATCCTCGTTTCGGCCTCAGCCAGCCGATTTCGCCAGCCGATGTCGCCAGCCGACCTTTCCCATTTGGATGGAAGCAAAACGAGGCGTTGCAAATCGGATGCCCCAGGAGCTTGCGTCCTTACTTTACTACATTCTGCTGACTGGCCCGACTACGGCATCTTCTGGTTTTGCCCCGCCATGCAGTGCACTATTGCGGTTGCCGCGCGCCACCTGCTCTGCTGCAGGGTGACGTACTCGCATGTGCGAGTGCGCACGTTCCGTAACAATTGAGGCTCGTATTCGGAAGAGTATTCGTGACATGTGTCAGAGCCAGGCAGAAAATCAAAGTCGCCTCTCGAGAGCTCTTTGGTTTTCTCTTACCCCGTCCTAATCCAGTTGCCTGCGGCAAGTCCCGCCACCGTGCCAGCCCAACGTTCTGGGTGGCGACTGTTCGAGGGGGCGCGGGAGGCCGTTACGTGTGACACCTGGTGTCTACAGATTTGGGAGAGCCGTGATGAGGATGATGAGGATTCTGTTGATGATGGAGGTGACGACGACGATGATGATGGTGGTGATGATGATGATGATGATGACGATGACGATGACGATGACGAGGACGATTATGGTGATGATGCTGATGCTGATTATGATGATTATGATGATGATGATGATGGTTTCGATGATTCTGCTGGTGATGCTGATGATGATGGTGATGATGACGATGGTGATGGTGAAGGTGCTGATGATGACGATGATGCTGATGGTGATGCTGACGCTGATGCTGATAATGATGATGCTGATTCTGATTATGATGATGCTGATGAAGATGATGATGATGCTGATGATGATGCTGATGATGGCGATGAATCTCATAATGATGCTGACGCTGATGCTGATAATGATTATGTATTTGATTATGAGGATGGTGATGATGATGATGATGATGATGATGATGATGATGATGATGATGATGCTGATGATGCTGATGACGATGATGATGCTGCTGATGATGATGATGGTCCGAAGACTCGCAGGGAGTCTCCAGATGTCGAGAATGGGAATGACCGTTCGAGCCTGGATCCTTGAACCTCGATCCTCTGCTCTCCCTCTGCGCCCTCCCCTCCCCTTGGGGAGGACGGAGAGGGTGAGGAGATGCATCAGACATGATAGGAAAGAAGGTGATGATGATGGGGAGGATGAGGATGAGGATGAGGATGAGGATGATGCTGATGACGAGGATGGTGATGACGACGATGATGATGATGATGATGATGATGATGATGATGATGATGATGATGATGATGATGATGATGATGATATTGATGATGATGCTGATTGTGATGATGATGTTGATGACGATGATGCTGATTATGCTGGTGCTGCTGATGCTGATGATGACGAAGATGTTGATGTTGAACCTGCTGACGATGTTGGTGATGCTGATGCTGATGATGCTGATGATGACGACGATGATGGTGGTGGTGGTGGTGATGCTGATGCTGCTGATGATGATGAGGCTGAGTCTGATGCTGATGATGTAGCTGACGATGCTGACGATGATGATGATGCTGATGATGATGCTGGTAATGATGACGATGCTGATTATGCTGATTCTGATGCTGATGCTGCTGCTGCTGATGATGATGATGCTTGTGGTGGTGGTGGTGATGATGATGATGATGATGATGATGATGGTGGTGGTTATAAAAGGAGACGACGATGATGATGATGTTGTTGATGATGATGGTGGTAGTGATGATGACGATGTTGATGATGATGCTGAGGCTGATGCTGATGCTGATGCTGACAATGCCGACAATTCTGACGATGATGATGATGCTGATGATGTTGATGATGATGATGATTGCGGTGGTGGTGGTGGTGATGATGCGTATTATGCTGATTGTGATGATGATGCTGCTGCTGATGATGATGGTGGCGGTGGTGGCGGTGGTTGTGATGATGATGCTGATGATGCTGATGATGATGATGATGATGATGATGATGATGATGATGATGATTATGATGATGTTGATGATGATGATTATGATACGAACTTGATGAGATGAGAAAGAGGATGAGGAATAGAGATGAGGATAGGATGATGATGATGATGATGATGATGATATGATGATGCTCCTGATGAATGATGATGTAGATGATATGATGATGATGCTGATACTGATGCTGATGCTGATACTGATGCTGATGATGATGATGATGATGATGATGTTGACGATGATGATGATGATGATGATGATGATGATGATTATGATGATGCTGATGCTGCTGCTGCTGCTGATGATGATGATGATGATGATGATGATGATGATGATGATGATGATGATGGTGATGGTGGTGGTGGTGGTGATGATGATGACGACGATACTGATGAGACTCGTTTTGGGCCGTCTTGGGGCTGTCCTGGGCTCCTGTGGGGCAGTCTTGGGGTTCCCTTGGGGCCCTCTTGCGCCGTCTCTGTGCCCTTCGGCTTCGGGCTCTCTTGCGCCGTCTCCTCGGGCGCTCTTGGCCGTTTGGTGGGTGTCTCGGGGCCGTCGTCGGGCCGCTTGGCACCGTCTTGGGCCTTCGAAGGGCCTCGTGAGGCCGTCTTGGGTCCCACGGGAGGCCCACTTGGGTCAAGTCGGGCATGTTCCCCTGCAGGAGGAATGTTCAAACCTAGTCTCAAAATAATGCAGGGGTGATTTTTTTTTCGCTTATATCATGCTATTTTTGAATCTGTTTGGCTATGTTTGGCGTTTCTTCCCACACCCGCCTGTCGGAGGACATGGCCGACCTAACACTTGGGCCGTCTTGGGGCCGTCTTGGATGCCACTTGGGCCATCGTGCAGTCCTCTTGGGCCGTCTTCAGTCGACGGCACCCGAAAAGGCGAGATTGCGACAT